GAACTCCTGAGCTCAAACAATCCGCCCGCCTCGGCCTCCCAGAGTGTTGATTTGTCTTTTTAATTAAAAAAAACATACATGGATGCCACTTCTAATTGCTTTAAACCATGGTTGCTTTCTTAAAAGAGAGAACAAAAGTGGATATGTTATTTCCCTGGGTAAAAAAGATCTTTGTAGGAACAGGACAGCAGCCCAGCCCCATGTTTAATTGGGACCAACACTGTCAGGGAAACTTCTTCCTGAAAGCCCAGGATGCTTTGAGGGAAGGGGCTGGAGTCAGGAGAGTAGTGCCCAGATAACCAGATTTCAACTCAAGTGCGTTTCAGGATTCTGTGGGTTTTCTAGCATTTTTTGAAAGCTAACACTAGCATAAGTTGCAGATTTTTTTTTAGACTGATGTTAATTTATTTTGTAGGGGAAAGACATTAACAAATGGTGTCAGAAGATTTTTGTCTTTTTGTTAACTCTTAGTATATCAATAAATTTTTCAAAAAACTTTTTGGCCTGGTGTACATGGTGAGGAATGACTGGAGACGCAATAGACTACGTACGTTCCCTCGAGGCAGAATATTTCCCTGGGCGTGGGCTGGGTCATTGTGGCATGGAAAAGTCACAGACTTTGGGAAGCGCTTGGCCACCTTGATAGGGTGCAGAAAAAGATGGTTTTCTAAGCGGGGCTTGGGGCTTTATTTTCGGAGGGAGTCCCTACACCAGTGGTTCACAGCTGAGGACAGTGGCATACCAGGGGACACTCAGCAGTGTCTGGAGATAACTTTGGTTGTCACACCAGGGGGTGGCTGACGTTGGCATCCAGTGGCAGAAACCAGGGGTGCTGCTAAACTTCCTGCAACGCACAGAACGGTCCCCCCAACAGGAAAGGATGTCAGTAGAGCTAAGTTTGAGAAACGCTGGTTTAGTGGGGAGGGTGAGGAGGGCTGTGACTGGCATCCAGCGGGTAGAGACCACTCGCTGTGAGACATCGCACTTCCAGAAGCATAGAGTAAAGGGGAACCAAAATTCCGCCCTCCACCCCCTGCACCTCCCAGCCCCGGGGTCCCCCCTCTTCCCCAAGCCACACCCACAGTACCCAAAGATACTGTGTTGGAAAGCTACTCTACTTGAATCTACTACATGTGGTAGCACTTTAACAGGACACAGCTGTAAAATTCCTGGGGCGTTGCTATGAAGCGCAAGCAGCTTTGAGTGAGCCGCTCTGCTGCTCCTAACCCATGGCTCCTAATAAAGAGATGATTTGTTTATTATATAACCTTCCCTGGTCCTCTAAGGTCTGCACTACCCTCGGCATGAATTTATTCATAAATCTCAGCCTCCAGGGAGTATGGAGCTTCCTTTGAAGTAAAGAGAGAAGGTGGGCCTAGATGTCGGGGCACTGGTCGTAGGCTAGTTGGGGCGAAGGCCTGAGTGCTTTAGTTGAGGACCAAGTTCCCACTACAAGTAGAAATGCACCCCAGCTCACCTGGCTCCAGAAAGGCTTGAGAATTAGATTCTTGCAGAGAAGGCTGCTGGTGGGGTTTCTGTGCTTGTGGCTTCCTGGAGGCTCTGGGTGTTTTGTTTTGGAGAAGGTGGGCAGGGGCCACCCCAGCGGTCCTGTCCTCTGGCCTTTGAGAGCAGCAGAAGGGGGCTGGGGACCGTCGGGAAGGAGCTCAGCCCTGATGGAGAGCCAGGCTTTCGTGAGACCCCATTTCTACAGGGACTCGCCAGACGGGTGCCGGGCCCTGGCCCACGCCGGCTTTTGTTAGTTTCTGCGCTGCTGATCTGATCGCCTAATCCAGCGCCTTCCCAGAAGAATGGGCCGGGCTGCAAGGGGCCGATCTGGCCCAAGGGTCCGCTCCGCGCTGCCGCGACCAGCCCGAGGGCGCCTGGCGCGGTCGGTGCAGCGTGGCTCAGAGCGCGGGGATCCGGGCGGCTGGACACCTCGGTCCTCCCCTCCGCCCCCGTGGCTCGAGGACAGGTCGCAGCGAGGACGCAGAGGGAGCGCCCATGGAGCGGGGCGCCCAGCGGTGCCTTTGGGTGCGGGCAGATGGGGATTTCTCTACTCGGATGCGGAACCGAGAGGCACCCGCCTCCACGGTGGGCGGGGTGGGCGCGGAGACAGGGGCTAAGGCCGCCGCCTGCAGAGGGCGCGCGCGTCCCGCGAAGCCCCGGCCGCCGGCGCTTTGGACGTGCGGGGGAAACTCGCCACCCGCGCTTGCGGGCTGCTCCGGAACGCAGTCGCGCGACCCGCACCCGCGCCGCTGCGGCCCCCCGCGGCCTCAGTCTCCGCGGTCTCCGTGGGAAAGCCCCAGCCCAGGCACAGCCTCTCTGGCGGCGTTCGTCCGGAGGCTGCTGGCGGCCACATGCCGCTAAGGACGGCGGAGCCCTGCAGGGCCCCGGGCCGCGGTATCTCGGACTCCTGCCAGGCTCGAAGCACCTCTGAGCCTGGAGGACTTTTTGGTGAGAAGAGGAAACCAGAGCATGAGCCCCAAAGGGACAGATAATGGTTGCTATCGGACACTGTAAGAAAAGCATAAATATTCCAGTTAGACCAACGTTGTTGGGCCAGGCTCCGCGCTGGCGACTGCCACAGGAGACTGCCCTGTCCTTGGGACGCAGGCGAACCGGCCCGGGCCAGAGGCGGCGCCGCGGCCGGGCCGGGGCCTCTACACCTGGTCTCTGCAGGTGTGGCGGATTCCTGGAGAATCTGCCCAGAGAACGGAAACCCGCTGAAAAAGCTCAAAGCCCAGGTTGGCAGCTGCCAGCAAACTGGGAAAAGGGACAGGGTCGGCGTCCTCCCACCTCCCTAAGCATGAGCCTATTCCGCTGCCCCAAACACCCAGGAGTGGACGGGGACGGAGCCCCGTCCGGGAGGCAGGGCCTTGGCTGCGGGCTGGCGTCCGGCCGCGCCCGTCGCTGAGCCACCCTTCCCACCTTGGAGCCCTGACGTCCTGCGCCCGCCGGCCCAGCACACAGCCAGCCCACCCCGGCTTAGGGCACGGCTTAGGGCGGCCTCAGAAGCAGACTTTGGATCCCTGGCGGCCAGCGGCCCCACTCAGCGCGAGGCGCAGGTCGCTGACGTCGGAAGGGCACTCAGTGCTCTGCGACTGGCTACCCCGAGCCCGGGTGCTCCCGCGCAGGGCACAGAGCTGGGCAAGAAGGTGGGGAGAGCTCCGCCAAGGGCCTAGCCACCGACCCCTCAGCCAGAGATGCGCGGGCGCCGTGTGCCCACGCCCCTCCGGGAGGGCTCTGTGGGCGCGCCTGGATTGCTGCTTGTGGGCAGGGCGACGTCCGCGGGGGGCGGGGGGCTTGGAAGTGGAATTGGGTTCAATGTGATGGACTCTTTGGGGACCCAGAGGGCGGCTTTCTCGTGCCGACTTCACGGCCACGCCCGCACTGCTGCGAAATCGGTGGTCAGGAAGGGCCGAGAACGGCCCCCATCCTCTCCCACCCCCACCTTCACCTTGCCCTGCTCTCCCCTCGACTGTCCGTTGCCCAGCTTGGGGCTTAGGTCCGCCAGGGGCAAGAGTCCGGGGGACTGGGGGGCGGGGATGCGCCGGGCTGCCGCGCGGCGGCTCCAGGTTCACTAATCACATCAGCGCGCTCTGCGCCGGCTCTGAGCAGGCAGTTGCCTAGCAATACCCGCGAATCCAATTCCTCAATCAATAGGCGCGAGGCTGTGCATTTCGGGGAGCGCTGGCGAGCTTGGGTGGGTCTGGGGGCCGGGTCCCTCGACAGCACTGGGGAGCAGACCGGGCAGGCCGGGGAGCGAGGCTGAGAGGCACCCGAGCCTCGGAGACCGGTGACGTCCGGCCTGAGGGTTGGGCGCGCGGGGGAAACCCCGCCAGAGGAAAGGGGAACCCCGATGTCACCCGCATCCTCTGGGGGTCCACGAATTCTGCCCACGTCCCGGAAAAGTGCAGGCTGTAAGTGGAGGAAAGCCACGGCCAAGCCCGAGTCACACCCCTCTCCCTCCCAAGCCCAGCCCTCTTCCAGCTAGGTGGGTCCCCCCCAGTTGGGGACCGGCCTTTGGCCTTCGCGGGAATCGTCCCGCGGAGGGGGCAAGGGTGCCGGGATGCGCCGGTAATGAGAGAGGAAAGATTGGTCCTGTCCTCCTGGGGCACCTCTTCCCTCAGCTCAGGGAACGAACCAAAAAAGTAAAACCGAGACATGTCTCTATTTACAAAGTATATATTTAAACACGTAAAAAGCGGTATTGGATACAGACATTCACGACCGCAGAGGATAGTACCGAAGCTTCACTCTTGAGCAGAGGCTGAGATCGATTCGAGATTTGTACAAATCTTAGACTTAAATAAATCCAACAGGCGCGCACACCACGCGGTTGCAGACTCCCAGCACACGGCCACGGGCCCCTGCCCACCCACCCCAGGTCAGCGTCGCAAGAGCTAGCGAGGGAGACACACACGCACGGCCACAGACAAATGGCAGGATGGAGGGGCACTGGGGACAGGACCAGGCTGGCCGGAGGAAGGTCGGAGAGAATGGGCGAAGGTGGCCCCAGGAAGGGAGGGGGGTGGGAGCGAAGGCAGGACCAGAGGGGAAGGCGGCAGCCAGGTGAAGACTTGTGTCCCTGAGTCACCGTCCACTCGGCAACTGACGCGTCCCTTCAATGAAGTTTCATCTGAAAATAGCGTCAACATTTAAATAGATACACTCGGTCAACGGCGCTTCTTTATACAAAGTCTAAAATACCAGTTTTACAAATCTGAGCAGATAAAAATCCCCATTCCAGGGGCTTCTCTTTATAGGCGCAATTTGATATTCAAAAACAAACAAAATCACGTAGTACACCGATTTCCTCTTTTTCTCTCTCTTTAAAGGCAAGAAAGTCTGGAGGAGAGGCTGAGAGGCTGGCGGTGGGAAGTCGGGAGTGCGAGGACAAGGCCGGGGCTCCCTCCCGTACCCCTCCGCTGCAAAGCTCCCCCGCCCGCCCCCCGCCTCGCTCGCCCGAGTCCGGCATCTGTGCTTGCTTCGGCGCGCAGGGCCCCCGAGGCCCTCCCTGAACGAGCAGTGGGAAGTTAGGTCTTCGCTGGCCCTTTAAGGGCGGGGAGGGCGGGGAGGCTGCTGGATCAGAGCTCGAAGGGACCGGGGTGGGGTGGAGGAGACCGATTTGTGCTTTTGAGTCAAAAGAGGGGCGCGCGTCCTGCGCCCTCGGAGCGCGGAGTGGCCCAGAGTCTGCCGGGGCGGGGGCGTCCCGGCCCCGCCGCCGCGCTCGGCCTCCCCCACCGCGGTAGTCTCCACGCCCAACTCCCGCTCCTCCCTCCCCCTTTGGCGGAGCTTGTCGAGTTCAAATAGAGAACACTGCGAATCGAAAAGGCCTATAAATTATAGTTTTTGCTTTTAAGAAGGGGAGGAGGAAAAAGCAAAAGTTCTTATGCGCATTCTTGGATGAAAACCCTGCCTCGCCCTCCTTCCCCTCGCCCCGCCGAGCGCCGGGGATGCGAGTCCTGCCGCGGCCCCGAGCGCCAGCCGGGTCCTCCGCCGCGCTCCGGCCCGGCCCGGCGAGGGCCTGGGTGCGAGGCCGCCGCTGCCAGCCGCGCCCGCCGCCCGCCGCGCCTCCCTCCGCGGTCCCGCAGGGTGGCCCGTCCGGCCGTGTCCGTGGGAGCGCCAGCGGCCCGCCCTCCCGGGGGAGGCTTGTCCAACTCTTCCTGGGAGGTGGGGGCCGCCGTCTCTTCTCCCGGCGAAGCTAGAGGACGCGAAAGGGAAAAGTCCACCCCAACACTTTCCTTGTACAACTGTCTCGCGCTCTGGGCACTGACACGCAATCCTCCCAATTTATCCTGGCATTTCGAGAATGTAAACAGATTCGCTGGCTTTTTCTTTCTGCGGAGTAAGGAAAGGAATTGAGGGAACGGGGAGATTTTATCCACATGACACACACACGAGCTGCGTGCAGAACACGCACACCCCTCCCTAAAGTGCATTTCCCGGTGTCGTCCTGGGGGTACCTGTTCCCACCCTCCCGCGCGCCAGCCAGCCAGCCGCTTTGTACCTTCAACGTCACACACGAAAAGGTTACCCAAGTTAATACTTTTTCCCCCTAATAGACTTCTTAATCTTAAAAAAAAAAAAAAATAGAAAAAAGAAAAACAGACTGACTCCACCCCCTTTTTTCTGATTGGGGAGCCAACCTTTTGTTGGCCTGGCTGGCCAATGGGAAGAGAGAAAAAATCTGGGCCCTGATTTGGTGCCAGGAATCTGGCACTGGGCTGCGGAGAGGGGAGGAGGGGCGAGGTGGGCAGGCTGCATCCCTCCAGACACCATCAGAAACCCAGGGCCCAGGCCCCCAACTTTCCTAGTGCCCTGGGGGGATGGGGGGGTCCTCCTGCCTCAGCTCAGCTGCCTGCCCCAACTAAAACACACTGTCTCTCTCTCCTCATTTAAATAAAACAACTTCAAGAGTTGAAATATATATATTTAGATATTTTTCTTAAATAACATATTTACATCTAATAGAAAATATAACTCTAGAGATAATCTTTCCAACCAAAACTGAGGGGAAGGGGGAATGAAAGGGGCTGAAGGGGGTGTGAAGTGAGGGACAGGACCAGCCAGGCGGCCACATCCCACCAGAAATAAAAAGCATTACGCCGAGCTTGCGCTCTCTCTCTCTCCCCTGCTCTCTTGTCCTGGGCTCACCCACTCAGCAATTCATCTTTTCTCTTTAAAAAAGCCTTGGTCCGTGTTACTTTCCTTAATGGTGACGGTCAAAAAGTTTGAGGTCACGTCTGTGACCACCACTTTCTCCAGGTTAGTCAGGGAGGGGCTCCAGGACTCTTCCTCAGGGTCCCCCAGGATTCTGGCCACTGGGATCCTGGCGATGAGGGAGGGCCTTCCCCCCTGGGCCCCCATGTCCCGGTACAGGCCTCCCACAGAGCCAGGGGTGCCTGAGCCATGCCGGACCCGGGGGCCTCCAGGGTCTAGGGCACTCTGGCCTTTGGCCTCCAAGAAGGCAGGCCTGTGCTTTATGACCCTGGCTGGGAAAGTGTCCACAGCCAGCTTGCCCGTGGTCTCCGCTGAGCTAGGGCTGGTCACACCACACTGCACCAGGTCCGAGTCCTGCCTTCGGGCCAGCTGGATCACGCTGTGGCCTGCTGGGAACTTTCCTGCCCCTGAAGGGGTGTCCTCCAGCTTCCTGCCCTTGAGGTAATCTCCGAGGCCATCGCTGGGTTCTCCTAAGGGCCTCTGTGAGGGGTCCAGGAGCTCCTTCCGGGGCTTGGGACCTCGCTTCTTCGAGCTGTCCCCTGGTGAGCTGGGCTTGTCATCGACGCGGCTGGCTGCCCGCTCTCGCTCTCTCTCACGTTCCCTCTCTCGTTCCCGCTCCCTCTCCCGCTCCCGGTCCCGAGGGGGCTCTGCTCGGCAGGTGCTGCTGGTGCTGCTGCTACTCCCTGGTGGGGACAGACCCATGTTCCGAAGGCCTTCTCGGGCCCGGGAAGTAGAGGCCAGGTCCTGGGGCGAGCGGCCGGGGTAGGGGATCCGAATGCCCCGGGCTGAGTCACTTCGGAACTCGTAAGTCTTGGCCTTGGCCTTGGCCTGGGCCTGCAGGAGAGAAGGTGGTGTCAAGAGTAGAGCAGGCCCTGCCCCACCCCCAGGACCCCTCCTCTAACCTTAAACTCCCACTTCGTTCTCTGACGCCTGGGAATTTGTGAGTGAGTAGGGAGGGGGTGGGGCTGAGAGGTGGCAGTATGTGGGAAGGAATAGAGGTCTGCCTGGAAGCAGCTGTTTGCAGAAAGCACACTTTTTGTATTCACTCACATGTCCATTTGGAATGGCTGGGCAGGAGGTTAAAGAAATTCTAGTGTGGCTAAGCCCCTCCCCGCAGACACCCCTTGGTGCTGCCACTAACTTGGTGACATCCTGTTAGGGGACTCCCTCCTAGATTTACAAAGAGGCAACATGTGTGGACACCGCATTGGCTCATAGCCCTCAGGGCCCCCTTCCCAGAAAGTAACCCAAAAATATCACTGTCCACCATTGGACACTGCCATCCTACCTTGAGGAGGAACGTTTTGGGTTTCGGTCCTCGTTTTTTGGGGCCATAGAGCTCCATCTCTCGTTCCCTGGAGACAGGAGGGAGGGTGAAAGGGTGTATGAGTAAAAAAAAAAAAAACCAAGTGGGACTCCAGTCCAGGCTGGACAGAAGCCACCCTGCATGTTTCTAGGTTAGTGGCTGGGGCTTGGAAGGGTCTGTACCTTTCCTCAAAGGCTGCCAGCAAGCGAGCATCCAGGATGTTCTCTTCCGGCTCCCAGGTACTGTACCTGAAGGAACCAGGAAGAAGCGGGCATCAGTCCCAGGAGCAGGGGGGAGCAGAGGGTGTGTGTGTAACTTTTCTCGTTGCATTGTATTGTATTTCAGTATAAAGGGAAAAAGAGGAAGAAAGAAACCTCCCGAGTAACAGTCTGGGTTTGAGAATTGCATATAACAGACTTACTTCTGCGACCAGCCCTTCCATTTCACGAGGTATTCCATGCGTCCCTGCAGATGCAAAGGGGAAAATGTGTGTGTGTGTGTGTGTGTGTGTGCATGGGGAGAAATGCATGACGAGGACACAAGAAATACATGCGAAAATGCATGCACCAAATGAATGCTCAAAACCCCACCGCCAAAGGCAGGCGCCCGCTGCACCACCCCTGCACCTAGGGCTGCACAAAGTGCATGCACCGGCATCCATCCCCCACCCCGCCCCCCACCCGTGCAATCTGTGCATCGCTGCAAGTCTAAGGGAAGCGCTGGGGCTCAGAGCCGCCGCCGCCGCCGCCACGGCCGCGGCCGCTGCTGGGACCTGGGGGAAGGGAAGCTGGGCTGCAGCAGGGGAGGGAACCGGCGGAGGGGAGGGCCCGCCGCGCCGAGCCCGAGGCCCGGGGCACCTACTTTCCTTATGCGCCGCTTCAGGAGGGCTTCGGCCGCGAACACCCGCTCCCCCACCGCCGAGAGCTCCATGTTGACTCGCCTCTTCCCCCCTCGGCCGCTTCCAGGAGCAGAAAAGCAGCAGCCAGCGCACGACAGACCATAATACTCTCCCGCTGACGTCAGTTCTCCTCCCCTCCCCGCGCGCCCGCGCCCTCCCGCGGCCCCCCCGCGCCGCTCCTCGAGCCCCCCCCGTCCGCGCTTCCTCCCGCCCCACGTGTTGCTAACGACGTTGCTAGAGCCGAGCGGCCGGAGGCCTGCGCCCCCACGCGCTGATTGGCCGAGCTCCGGGCCACGCCCCTCTCCCTGTCTCCCCCGCGTTGCTACGTGACCCGCGTTCCAATCGCCAGGGGGCGGAGTCCGAGGCCACTCCAGAGACAGAGCGGGCGGGGGTGGCGGGCGCCGCCGGAAGTGACGCCACGGGGAGGGCGGGCCCGGCCGCTGTCAGTCTACGGGGCTGGCCAGGGGGGCCGGCTGCCCTCTGTCCTCGCCAGGGCCCCCTCCCCCGCCGCCAAGTTGTCCCTCCGGTGTTCGGCGTCCCTCACAGCTCTCGCTGGGACCCCCGCGGCGGTGTCAGCCGGGCTCCGCCCCCTCGGCAGACCCCGGCCCGCCCCACCCCCACCGCCGGGACTCGCGCCCTCCCCTCCTCCCGCCGCCGCCCGCGCAGCACAATGCACAATGCACAGGTGCCCGGCCACTGCGAGCCGCGCCCGAACCCCGAGGCCCGGCGACGCGCCCGCGGCCCCTCCTGTGCCCGGCCCCCTCCCCCCGGAGCCGCACACCGACCCTCGGTCTCCATGGCAACGGCCTCCCCCGCGGTCGCCAGCCGGGTCCCGCTAACAAATCAATGTGCCTGTGTCTCGGTCTCCTGTCGCGCAGCCCTGCCCTAGGCCACCCTCCGGGCCCCGTAAGCCGGGCTGGCTGGACCGCTCGCCCGGCGCAAGCCGCGTGCGGACCTGATGGAGGCCTGGCATTTCCCACCCGAGCCCTCCCGCGGCCCGGGACCCCGCGGCGCTGTCGCGCGCCGTCTTCCTGACCCCGACTGTCCCCGACGCCCACGGCCACCTGCCCCTGCCCCCCGCCCGCGCTGCCGCCCCGCCAGGCCCTGCCCGGGAGCGTCCCCAGCCACGGCCCTCGCCGCCCTGGGCCTGGGCGTGCCAAGGGCGCGGACTACCGTCCCCGCAGAGCTGGGGCTTGGCTGGGGTTGGGGCGCTCGGCTGGGCGCGCGTCCGGCTGCCCCAGACCCCCGCGCCCGACCCGCGCTCTTCCTGTCCACGGCTCTTCCAGCGTGCGCGGCGGACACCCCAGAAGAAACGGCGGCGCGGGAAGCTAGGGGTCGTCGCGGGGTCCGCTGCGGGCTTGGCGAGAGGGTCTCACGCGCGGAGATAGCGGGCTCCTGGAAGGGGACAAGGGCGGGCCGCGGTGCTTTGGCGCGCGCACACGGACAGGCACACGCCGACCCCTCCGCTTGCTCAGCTCGCGGTGACCCTCAGCGGGTGCGGTGGGGACAGCAGCCTCAGTACGGGCCCAGCTCCCTCCCACCCTTTTCTCTTGCCTCTCAAGCTCCAAATCTCAAGTCCCACTCGTTGGAACCCAGGATTTAGTTAAAACGTCGATGATCAACTTGACTGGAAGCCGTTTCCCTTGGGCAGGGACGAGGTGGGAGAAAGGGAGGGGGAAAGAGGAGAGAGAACGATAGACAGAGAACGAGGGAAGCGGCCAGCCAAGGAGTCTGCCTTGAAGGGGCAGAACGCCCAGAGCGGAAAACCAGCCTCCTGTCCAAAGCGAGGTGCGCGCGGGCGGTGGGTGCGGCGAAGCCTTCGACCCGCGGGCCAGACGTGGCGTGGGGCCCACCTTCCCTCTCGGGCCTCCCCTCGCCGCGGGAAACGCGGGTTCCAGTTTTTGGCTTTGGTCCTAAACTGTACACGGCAGGCGCTGGGTGAACGGTCTCATCTCTCCGGCCGTTCTGTCTTAACGAACAGCCCCTCAACGACGCTCACATTGCCCTGCGACCCGCGCCGGCCGCCCGCGAGAGGCCGCCGACGGCCGCGTCCTTAATCATAAAAAGTCATTCCCGGTAACAAATAGTTTCGTCTGCCGGTGCCAGCGATACAGCTGTTTCTGTTTAAGCTTAAATACTTTCCAACAGTTTGGGCAGTAAAAATAAAGTCGGCCTCAGCCGCCTATAAGTGTCTGGTTTCCCCGCCCAGAGAAAGCCCACCCTCCGCCCTGGGCCCGGGTCGCTCTGCACGTCCCGCCCGCCCCCTTCTGAAAGCCGCTGCCCGCCGGGCGGTGGCTGCGGGGCCACCCCAAACCATGCGCTGGCCGCCCGCGCTCATCAGCCGCTCCAGGGCCACTCCGGAGGCTGGAGGGAGGGAGCCTACCCAGAGTGGGCCGGGGACCCGACCCACCTCGCCTGCCGCCCTGCCCTCACCCCTGGAGAGTCGCCTGTATCCGCGGAGAGTGGTGGTTTTCCTTCAGATAGGGTTTCTGGAGCCCTATCCCGGGCTGGGCTTGGGCTGGGTGCCTTTGCAGACCCCTGGGTTTGCACCAGGCGTGCAGACGTCGATGGTGTTAGTTTCACGCTGAAAAATCTCGCTCTGGTTCTCCCTCCCTGTGTACCTTTCCTTTTCTTCTCTCTCCTTTCCTTCCTTCCTTCCTTCCTGTTTCCCTCTCTCGGCCTCATTTTTACTTCTTTCCCTAAATACCTCTTAAGCTTGAAGTGAAGAAATGAAACCCCAGCCCCTCCTCTAGGGGGTCTTTGGTAATTATTTTCGCTTCTCTAACTCATTTTCCCGCCCATCTTCGTGTCTGATGGCGATTCTTTCGGAAACGCCGGCTCCTAACAAAATTCGGGCTCTCCAGGTGTGTGAGTTTGCAAACGTCGGGGTTCCTGCAGAGCCCGAGGCAAAGGTGGAACTCGATTCAGAAGGAGACGAGAGGGGAACAGAATAAGCTGGAGTCATACCTATGCCAGCTCTAGGTCGCAGCAGACGTGCTCTGTCCCTCTGTCCCACAGAGGAAGAGGACCCGGACGAGGGGGATTGATGGGGAAGGTTCTCTCGCCCTGCCAGGCACCCTGGCTCCAGCTGCCCAGCAAAGAGCAGGGTTCAGCGGGTGTGAAAACAGGTCACTGGGCGACCTCGGTCCTCCACAGTTTGGAGACATGCAAGAGGCGGCGGTCTGGGCAAAGGGACTGGCCGCCGAGCTGGGCTCTGGGTTGGCGGGCGTGGGGGATGCCTGTGTGCTCGGAGAGGGCCCTAACATTCGGGTCATTCGGCCGAGTGTGGACCATTCCTTTCGGACCCGCAGCTGGTGGCACTTTCTTAGGAACCAGCGGAATGAGGATCCTCACTCCCCAACTCTCTTATGAAACCCCCCATCCCCTGCTACTCGATTCTGGACACTTCTCTTCTTTCCTCCATACAACCGCTGTCCCCGTTCAAAGTTAGATAATGGCTTTTCCCACGTCAACCTCCCAGGAGTAAACAAAACAAAGTTTCCAAGAGCGAGAACACACTGCTCCTACAGTCCCGTCGCCGGCGGTCCGCAGCCGCCAGGTTCTCGTGCGCCGCCTCTGCAGTAAATAAGGTAACTGCTTCCTATTACTTTAGCCCCATATGGCTGCAATTTGAGTGTCTTTGGAGACTGTGCGTGTGTTGGGGGGAGTGAAAGTGGAAATCAAATGCTCTCAGATCGCATTTTTATGAAGGAAATTGTTTGCGATTCTCTTAACCGCCGACCCCCACCTCAAGAGCTGCCCTGTTTCTTTGTTTACGGAAATGAGGGCGCCTGTCCTCTTGGGGACACCTGCTTACCCTCATCCCTGGTTCTCCCTCCCTATTCCGCACTCCTCCTGGTGACCCGGGCGTGCGGCCTGCGACTGCCCTTCGCGACCTCCAACCTGCTCCTGGGAGCCCGCCCAGCCTCGGCCCCAGCCTCTAGACGGTGCGGGACCCTGCACTTCACGCCCCCGCCTTCCGCAAGCCCGGAGGCCGCCCGGGGGTCTGGGGCCCTCTTAAGCTTCCCTGGGCCCGCCGCCCACCGACGTGTCCTTCCCAGGGGAGGCCCGAGGCTGGCGCAGTCGGGGGAGAGGGGCAGAGCCGGATGGCCCGGCGGGCGCCGGGTTTGGGGTGGCCGGCCAGACCAGCAGGCCGGAGCGCGTGCTCTAGCTCGAGGCTGCCGCCCAGCCTCAGCTCGCCCTTTGGGAACGTTTCAACTCCGCGGCTTTGCGGGCGTCGGACCTGCCCGGTCGGTGTTGGCCGCGCACGTGGGCAGGTTTGGAGCCAACCGCTGGACTGTGGCGGGCGACGGCGGGGCTGTGGAGTGAGTGGGGCGGCGGCGGGGCGGGGCGGTGCTGGCGGTGGCCGCGTGTAGGGCGGCTGTGGCTCGTGGCTTACCTCCCGCAGCCCCGGAGCCGGCGGGCACCCCCCTGCTCTGCTCCCCAACGCCAAGCCAGGGCTTGGCGCTGTCCGCTGCGGGAACGCCGCAGAGGTGACCCGACACTGTGGGAAAAGGTCTGAAGGCCTGGCCTGGTCCAGCTGGTGGGGAACTGGAAGCGAGGCTGCCCAGGTTTCTGGCCTTAGCTCCCACCTTTCCTGTCCCACCTTCTCCTCCCTGGTAGACATTCGGATCCTCCTAGCTAGAAAAGCAGTAGAACCCACTGCAAAGTTTAAGAAGGGGCTGACCCCTTTACAATCGAATCCCACAAGGCGCACACACTCTGGATAGAGGCCACGTAACCTTTGACTTCTGCCTTAAACTACAGCAACTGAAATCAAACCTCCTTGCCTCCCGTCCATGGGAGGAAAATCTCTCCTTGAAGTTAAGCATCACCTACTGAGCAGTCGCTCTATGTCTAGTGCCTGCATTACCCCACATAGGAGTCACAACCACCAGGTAAGAAGTTATACTACCCCCACTCTAGAGATGAGAAACTGAGGGACGGTGAGGCCAAGTAACTTGTCCAGAGGCACACCGCAAGGGTTCCGCCTGAGAGGTCCGGAGCCCAAGTCTCTAATACCCCACAGCAGGGACTTTTGGTCACTCCCGACATTTCACTTCCTGCAGGGCTCCAGGAAAGAATTCGAGGTAAGAGAGGGCTGGTGGAATCTCT